TATTTATATTTATTTATATTTATATTTATTTACTTATTTATTTGTTAATTCAAACATTTTTATATGTATGTATTCATCTATTTGTATATACAGATATATATATATATATGTACATGTACATATTACCAAAACTGTACATAGAAACCCCTGTAGACTGTTCGCGTGCGTCTTAGAGCTCTTACTGCGGAACTTCTCAGGAGCAGGTGCACGACTCCCAGGCTCCATGAAGGGGAGGGGTCCCACATGTGCTGAACATCCTGAACGTGCCTCGTAGCTATTGTCTGGCCTGGCGAAGTTTCGTGCTGTAACCCCGTGATTTCATCGTGCTTCGGCTCTGAGTTCATTGTAAACAAGGGACGTACCTATTTGTATTATGCTGCTGAGAACACAAAGTATGACATGTATGACCATCATCCGGACTATGATTGGAACTCTGACTACTGACTCGGTTGTTAATAGCAGCACGAGGGGGAAGAACGTGCATGACGCCGCCCCCCAGTTGCTGTCCCTCAAGCAGCCCTAGTAAGCCCAGTCGACACACGCTGAGCTTTGTTTCTTGGGGTTTGGGTCGGAGTCGTTCTTCATGCCTGTAGGAGACTCGTTGTCCTTACTCTGAGCGCAAGAATCCGAGCATCCTGAAGCTCCAAACGTTCGAAGCTTGAAGTACTATTTTGGGCGCTCCCTATTGTAATTTTAGTGTAACATACATCAAAACCCTATTCTAATTGAATTCTTACGGCCCCTACATTTGTCTCAAGTCTTGCATCCTGCTCTCCTAGTCTCGCTTGAGCTGAGCGGGTCGGGATGTTGCAGTGCTGTTCCAGGGGGACCTGCTAGCTATTATGATTTATGCTCCCCCTTCTCATTAGCATCCAAGACAAACTATTTTTTGTTGTTATTATTACCATCTCTCATTTCTGATTATGAATACCCGTTAGCTGCTCGAAACCCGCTCACCCCCCCTCAAGAGCAACACAAAGAAGACTATTCTGCGATGTCGACATCGCTCGACTTCGTCAGCAGGTACTTGTTTTGAAGCTACACCGACAGCATCTGTCAAAGCCCCAGAGCCCGAACAAGTGAAGGATTTTCCGAGTGGAGGACTTTTTCGGTTCTGCCACGGCTCAAGACAGCTTTGCGGTTGGCCGATCTACTCAAAGACAGGTCCCTGAGCTATGGGTCTCGCGTTTACGAAGATATGGCAGCGGCTCATCGGGAAGCAGGAGATGCGTATTTTGATGGTCGGCTTAGATGCGGCTGGTAAGACAACCATTCTTTACAAGCTGAAGTTGGGCGAAGTGGTGACCACGATTCCTACGATCGGCTTCAATGTTGAGACTGTGGAGTACAAGAACTTGTCATTCACAGCGTCTGGGCTCTGAGACTGTCGTGTTTGGATTCTGATTGTCTTTCGTACCGTCAGACCCAACGTTAACGTAAAGACTTCTTGCCTTTCCAGATCCAAGGTGTGGGACGTTGGTGGCCAGGACAAGATTCGACCTCTCTGGCGCCACTACTACCAGGGTACGAACGGCTTGATCTACGTGGTTGACAGCAATGACCGGGATCGCATCGAAGATGCCCGCGAGGAGCTCAACAAAATGTTGAATGAAGACGAGATGCGTGATGCGGTGCTTCTGGTCTTCGCCAACAAGCAGGATCTGCCAAATGCAATGACCGCAGCGGAAGTCACGGAGAAGCTCGGGCTGCACAATCTGCGGCATCGTCAGTGGTTCATCCAGTCTGCTTGCGCCACTACCGGTGACGGTCTCTACGAAGGTTTGGACTGGCTTTCCCGGACACTGTCCTCAAAGCGCTAGGCTGGCAGTGAGCAGCAGGTTGATGGCCCCGTGTCTAGTATGCTATGTCTCGAGAATGATTGGTGCTCGTACTTGTAGTCTTGTTTTTGCTTTCGGTCGGTTTTGTAGGAGTCTTCGCAAAGGAGGCTGTGGGCAGCGGGGGCGCATCATTGTGTAGTGTGGTGCGCTTCCGAAGACCTATCGGCATATTTCCCCAACCTGCAGCAATGCAGTCTGCAGGAAAAGATGCGGGGAACATGCTAATGGCTGAAGCGTCGTCACGGCAAGGCATGCTGCAGGTGGGACTAGAATCAGAAGCAAGCTCAATCCGGCCTACGTGGATGATAGCTGACACCATCATCTGTTGGCATAGCTAGGTGAGAAGCGATAGCCGTTCACCGCACGTGCTGTTCGTTGCTGGGGCTTGTCTAGGTCAGACGCTCTGGACCCGTTGCATGTGATTAGTCATGCGAGTGCAGCGGTAGCTTCGGGATTCTTGCTCCGTGGCTGCGTGTTTGGGTGGATACACAGGTTCATCTGAGCCTCACTTGGAGTTTGAGTTCCCACTGAGCAGAGGATGTATCGGGCTCATGCTTGCCAGTTTCATCCCTTATCTCGGGGAAAGAGTGGGAAGGCAATATGTTTGGACCAAGACGCAGCTTCCGCCGCGCTGGCACAAGGGGCTACGGCTTAAGCTGCTCGAGCAAAGCGTTTCCCGGTAGGTGTAGTTCTTCGCCCTACAATGCCAAGCGCAAAGAAGACGATCAAGAGCACGGCGTTCACGAAGCAAGAGCTCATTGATGTGCTACGCAGTGCCAAGAGCAGCAAGGAACAGAACCGTGCTGTCAAGTTGCTGAAACAGTTCGATCCCATTCCCCACTATGAGTTCGATGACGAGGGCTTCAAGTCCGTTATGAAGCCAAAGAAGTACGACTACCTGTTGGGTTATGTCTGTGATCGATGCGGCAAGGTGAAGCAGACAAACTACCAAGTGCTTTGGAAGACGTCCATGGGAGTCCGGAAGATATGCTACCCTTGCTCCTCGCGGACTAAACGAACCCCAAACCCTAAAGCATTATATGCCCATACAGCACTCTTATTCTTCAGATATAGCTACTACAAACACCCCATCGGTGGTCAATTAGTCCCCAAGGCTATCAGCAGCTGGCAGAGAGGGAGGAAGTGGCTGTGATGCGGGCAGCAAACCAAAAAGCCGGGATCATTCCAAAGGGCTTCGGCCTGGGCCTCACAGGCGGGGGGCTCTGAAAACATAGGGCTTTAGGAGGGATTCTTCAAGCTAGAGTAGCTAGAGGTTTTCAGGTTTGGGGCTTCATAAAGTCTAGGGTTTGAGGTGGAGGGTCTAACACTAGGGTTCTTGAGGCTTAGGGCTCAAATTCCTAAACTACTTAGGCCTCCTTGCATAAAGGATCTTAATTCCTTAGGTATCAGGTTTGGTGGGGCACCTGATGATTCGAGACTCCCAGGTGTCGTGCAGCAGTGAGCGTGCGTCTGTAGCTTCGGCCATGGAGAAGCACGGACCAGAGGTTCTACTGAGATTTTACTGCTTCATATAGGGGCCCTTTAGAACTAAGGATATCAATCCGTAGGGTTCCTTAATTATTTATAGTATAAGATATCCCAAAACCCTATTCCAATTATGAAGGCCCCTGTACTATTGCAACTGAGGGGTGTTGGACACGTGTACAGGCTGTACAGGAATTCGACGAGGGATTGCTGATGAGTTGCCTTGCATGGATCATGCCATGTCAAAACTTCACGTCTGGACTTTTGGGGTTTAGAGCTTCACGGTTTCAGGGTTGCTTTAGGGTTTAAATTATTTAAATTATTTAATTCGGGCCGGGAATTAAATAATGTAAATAATTTAAATCCTGGGCCCTCCCCCCGGGCCCTCCCCGGACCCCCCTCCCGTGTGCGGCTTAAACCGGGTTTA